GGTGCTTAAATCAGCATTAGCTCTTGCCAGCTACAGTTGCCTTAGTTTACACTTTTTCAGTCATTGCAGTGCACTTCGAAATACTACTTTTCTTTAATTAGAAATGTGGTATTCTCCATTAGGCATTGATCTGAGCAAGCTTGAGTAGAGACTTAAGAAATATCGTAGAAAGTTTTTCAAAAATACAAACTGTTTATATTTTTACTGTCAGTGATACAAATTTCTTTAATAATTCAAGGTGTGCTACAGAAACTGAATTGTTGGATAATTCTTACTCCCTGATTTTGTAATAAAGATATGAAAACTTGTAATAAAGATATGAAAACTGCTCCCTTCATGTCGTAAGGATCACCTTTAAACTATGTTTATATCTGCTTTATTTTAGCTTACACAGCTTGGTGTAAACTAGAATCACTCAAACTTTATGCATAAGCATATCCTGTGAGAGCATACCAAGCAGTCAGATGCTGATCAGATGTGAGATTTTGCAGAGCTCAGAATGAATGTAAGTTGACCAAAATAAGTTGTTAAATAAGATGGAAATAAAGATACAAGAAGCAAGAAGGTTGAGCAGAATGTGAGAACAAACTGACCTCTGAAGGTGGTCTGTGAAAAGTAGTGTGAAAGGATCTTATAACAGGTAGATATTCTGTTAACGTTTCAAAGAAATGGATGCATCGGTATGCAGAACGGCAGTTTGAAATGTGGACTGCTTTGGAGAAGCTGCTGCTTGCTTATGTGGAGTTTCTTTTTCAAGACATTGCAAATAATGTTTGTTGTGTGCTGGAATGGATATTTTTTTCCTTGTGTACATCAAAAGTCACAAACAGGTAACTGAAGTAACAGCTTTTATGTTTTAGTCTGTTTGTAACCATTGTCTCATTAATGTGTTGATACTTGCAAATTTGTGATCTGAAATAATTCTGATAACTTATTTTAAAATTAATATTTTTAATGTGAGAATTGTAGTATGAGTTTCCATCTTGAAATCTGAATGAGCAATTATGAAAAATAGTACCAAGAATCAGTCTCTTTGATTGAAAATATTTAGTCTTGAATATAATGTCAACTGACTGCCTTTGCATGTGAGATGATAACAAAAGGAAATTACCTGTTTCTTACCATGTGGTCTTGGCTTAGTCCTGTGCAAAGGGGTTTCATCATCGAGGCCTTTATACTGTTCTCTAAAGTGAAGAAAATGGTACCCAACTGGAGTGTCTTTTATGGGGGGTATATGGCAGAAGGGTTAATAGCATTCTAAACACTCTCTGAAATGCCTGATCCGTTATTCTGACTTGAAATTATTGCTAATACAGTGCTTTTCAGTCCTCTTTGTTACATATTAGTAGGTGCTTCCTTTGCTCTGTGTATGAGACCTAAGGCTTAATGCTTTTTTTAAAATGTTTGATACTCACTCAGGAAGTTATTTCATTTTGGGTAGGAAGAATAATTTTATCTTGCAGATAGTAGTGACTTCCACTAAAATATGAGGAACATGAGATGGTACTAGCAAGCTGGGATAAATCCTGCTTTAGTGCAGCATCACCAGTATGTCCAGTTGTGCAAGAAAAGGACAAAAAAACAAGTTTAAGTCGCAGCTTGCCAGACAATGGAGCTTGTACAGTAGTAGCAAGTAGAGAATCTTTGCTCTTCAGTTTTATGTGGTTGAGTTTGCCGCTTACCCTGTCTTGAAAATTTTCACAGGTTCCTTGGTGGCATTACACTCAACTTTTAGCCCTGGTCTTAATAATAATCTGCTTAGACTGGGCAAGTGCAGACTTGGTTTGTTGCAAGGACTAGTTATGTCATATTGAAACAGATCTGTAAATGCTTTCTTCTCCTCAAGACAAATTTTTGTGAGAAATGGTTCTCTGTTCAACACTGCTGTGTGGTTTTGTTTGTAAACAGGTAAGTCAGTGGGCCAATATGTGACAGAGCATTTCCAGGATGCCCTGCAGTTTGTTATGGTTACTGCTGTTCCCTTGTCTTTGTCTTGAAATAAGATTCCATTTCCTGTGTATTTCATATCTAAAGTAACACTTTCTGTTTCCTACCAAATATAACTTTATTGTGGCGGAAGCTAGAAATTGGTGTTGTGCACTTGTTATGATGTAATCTGAGTTAGAAGTTATCACCCAGTAGAGTTAGCAGGGGAAGGAGGTTACTTAATTGCCACAATGAAGTACCAAATCTTTTAGGTACAAACAGAAACAGGAGGGTCCATCTGAGCATCAGGAAACGTCTTTACTGTGAGGGCGACCGAGCACCGGCACAGGCTGCCCAGAGAGCTTGTGGAGTCTCCACTCTTGGAGACATGGTTCTGGGCATTGGCTCTAGGTGGCCCTGTGTGAGCCAAGGATTTAGACCAGAGAACCTCCAGAGGTCCCAGCTTTAACCCTTCTGTGATTGATTCTGTCATCAAAATAAAGTTTTGACTTTATTAAACTTTGTGTTAAACCCTATTACACGCTTAGGTATTTGAATGCTTGCTTCCTTACTAGATTTCATTTCAATATAGATGTATGTATTGAGTAGATTTGATAAATTTTACATTTTCAAATGAAGCACAGCAAAGATGAAAGCTCTTTGAGTGAATCTTGAGTTGCTGATAATAAGGACTGTATGACCACATCTTGCCCTACCCTTCTCCCAGCACAGTCTTAAAGGTTTCAGAGATTTTAGCCTCATAAAGATAATCAGTTCTGCTGTCATTATTTTGGAAGAGAAAGTTAGGACACTGGCCTAACCTGCCACCTGCTGCAAATCTGACAGGTAAGGAACCCTACAGGAGGGAATGGGGAGCATTGTGTGAAATTGTGCCAAGCAACACTTCAGAAGCTGTGTATCAGTGAGTTTCACAATTCCTGAGGAATTTTAAAATTAAATTTTAAATTAGAGACAGTTGGACTATACACAGTCTAGAGAGTTTCCTGTGAAACTAGATTCACCCTTAGTTTTTGGAAGACGCAAAATGTCCTTAAACTAGTGAGGTCATCACATCTCAACTATATCTAAGTATTTTTATATAATAAAAATATATGCTGTTGTTCTGTAGTCTTAAAACTCTAAAATCTGAGAAAACTGTATCAGGCTTTGCCCATACTAATGTTTACTACTTTAAAACAATATTTTGAAATAAAACTAAATTAATAGAACTGTGCATATTTAAATGCCTTTAAAATCTTAGTTCTCTTATCTCAGATTGCATAATTGTAAACTTGTTTGCACAGTGTGTAGCACCATGGTATCCTGACTTCTGTTAAAGTAATAGAGCTCTACTGATACTACTTAATTCTTTGCTAGCTGTGCTGGCTTAACTTGTTTACAAGCAGACTTTTCTAAATTTGTTTCACATTCTGTAAGTCTCTGTGACAGGTGACCTCGGCTTACAGAACTCTGGCAAAACAAGCTCATGAGATTTTATCTGTAGCTTCCAATGCCGAGTGATGCAGCAGTTTCAGATGGTTTTGATCTGTCAGGTTTCTTGAGTTTTCTTTGTGAAGTCACATCTATACGTCATTATTTTTAGGTGAAAGATGATGAGGGTTAAGGGTTACTCCCTTGCTTCTTCAACAATTTTGTACTTTTTAGCTGTTTGTGACAATGGAAAGCATCACAAAATGCTCAGAACTTCACATTCATGTAACAGGGCATGTGAGTACTGAATGGAGAAAACCATACCGTTCCTTGGAGGTTTTTCCAAACTGCTCAGCATAAACGCAGTCATTGAAAGTAGAAATCTGAACATTTGAAGATATTTTTGCTGCATTAATAACAACATAGGTAGAATGGCTAATTAGGAAAATCAGTGATTAGCCAGCTATTCTGGTGCTGAAGTTTCCTCGATATGGAAATGTCAGCGGTATAGGGGAGGGGGCCGTATTAAAAAATACGAGATTGAGTTGCTCTTTCATATAGGATTGTCTTAGTGACTTTGACTGCAGCCTGGCAGTGTGCAAGAATTTGCAAAAAATATAATGTATATATATTTATATAACACTTTAATTATAGTGCGTGGTAGAAGTCTCAGTGATGTTAAGAAGTTAAAGACTTCATTCCCTTCTGCTGCTCAAATCCAAAATTCTTAGAAATCATGAGGCATCTTTTACTACAGAAAAAAAGGATCCTCCTTTTGTTTTAAATGCATGGCATCTAGGAACATAATAACTTGTAAATGAACAATTTTTATTAAGTTTATAAAACACAAATGTCAGTATCTTTGAATTCAGACCTCCCTGAAGCTGCTCAGGTGAAATCTTTGTCCTTTATGTTTAAATATTTTCAGACATGGTCATCATTCCCTAGATACTGAAGAAATAGTCCAGCTTCTGTATGGTGAAGTATTGCAGTCCAGGCAAAACAGAAAAACAAATGTCCCTGAATTACAGTATTGTCACTGGCATGGGTTTATTGACAGGCCGCTAGAAAGTGTCACTGTTTGTTCTTTTTTGAAATTTAATTCCAGAAGAGGAATATTACTACAATCACATTGCTCATTCTGTGTAACATGCTAACTTCAGGTACCCTACAGCTTATAAATTGAAAGTTGTGAAATATTTTTAATAATCTTGTCAAGGGACTTGAATGCCTTGCTGGCTCAGTTGAAGTAGTCTTCGCCCTTTTATTTCTAGGAACTTAATACTCCTTCTGAGCCTAAATTTGATAACAGGTTTTTTTCCTTAAATGCTTACTTGCTTCTACTATTCTGCAAATATATGCTCCTACAGGGAGAATTTGGCAAATGTGAGATTGGGGAAAATTACATTGTCTCCTATAATCCCTGGCAGCCATGCAGTGATGCCAGGTGACAATTTATTCTCTGATGGTTTTATTGTCCTTAGCAGGGGCTACTCAAGATAAGCAGGTTTGGCCAGACTTAAGGGAAAACTAGATGATGAATGGGGAGGGTAAGATTGCTTGGCCATTTAAGAATGTTTGTAGCACTGTATCTTCTGTTAGTATGTCAGCAGCCAACACTGTTATCTGTTACCTTTTGATAGGTAAACCTGAACAAAAGCAAACATGAACACAGCTCTGCGGATCGTCCTGGGTTCCCTTTGGAAACCCCAAATAAGTGGACACAAGGGATTGTGTGTTTTCCTGAGAACAGCTCAGCATTGGAGTTCTTCCTTTCTGTGTGATGAATAGTGGTTCCGCTACTCTCAAAATGATACTTTATGCCTGCTGGTGCAAAATGCCATATGGTCACTTGAGTGGAAGTCAAAATTTACCCACGCTGCTGTTGTGTGTTAGGTAATTTTTAAAGCAGACCTAAAATAAAGGGGGAAATGCGGGGTAATTTAGGGGGGATGCCCTTTGTTATAGTGGCCACCAAAAATCCTGTTAATTAAAGAAACAAAATCTCAAAAAACTCCAACCCAAACAAATCTCAAAGCCTGTTGTGTCAGTCAAGCCAATGAAGCTGCCCAACATGAATGTGCAAGATAAATGTAAACTGTCCTTGGGTGTTGAAGTGTCACAGCTGTCCCTGCTCAGTGTGCAGCGCTGTCAGCTTGGAGATTGTCCTGCACAGCTGTTCTCTATTGGAAAGACAGTAGTGCAGATATCCTGTTATGCTGGATATTTGTTATTGAGGTAGAGAACTTAGGAGTGGGTTTTCAGTTTTCCTTGATGATGGAACAATATAGGCACAGTATCACTCAGTTCATGTGTGATGCATCTGTTCTCTTCAGAATAAGTATGTGTATCATGCTGTTAGCCTTTTAGACTATTTCAGATTCATTTTGCTTGGCACCATTCCCAGTTTGAGCTTTAATTAAAAGAGAAGTTTTATCGTAAGAATCAAAATTCAGAGTCTGTTACTTTGAAAATATCTTTTTGCTGTGTTCCTGTTCACTCTTAGAAATCCATTTTTCATCCCTGGCTGTGAGGATACGTTCAGGTCTAACAAAGTCATTGCTGTTAATCATAAACAGTAGGGTATGTATAGGTTAATACGATCTTAATTTTTTGTAGAGAGAGAATCCTGAAGAAACAGAGCACAGGCACAGACCTAGTAAAACCACACATATTGTAACACTACCAGCAGTCTTACTGGCTGGTTTCAGGGCCTATCTTCAAAAACATAGCAGATCTATGTGCCTACAACTATTACTAATATCTACTAGTTGCCAAGAATATGGTTCACTGCTTTCTCTTTAGTTAGTCTAGGTGGCCAAGAGCAGGTAATATGCACAGGCTGTTACAGAAACTGGAAAGACTGTGTTAAGCCTATGGTTGCTTTAGCTTTCTTGATGGGGGGGAAAACTAATTATTGTGGTTTTTTCGTATTAAAATGGAGACTGAAAGATGTGCAGTTTGTAATTACGACTTCCCTTTAAGATGGGTACATAGTTATCAATAGCTGCATCTATTTCACCATGTGAAGGTAATGTCCCAGGTCACTAAATGCTTGTCCAGATGACAATTACAGCCTGGACCCCATGACAGACAATTTATCACTGGCCATTATTGCATTTGACCTGCCAAGTGATTTTAATCCTGGGACTTGCAAAATTATAGCTGTAGTTAGAAAGGGTTAGTGTAATTCCTGCTTTAGGAATAAGGTATCCATCTTAATGAATGTCCAGTACAGAATAAATAACGGAACTTTTGAAATTTGATAGATAGCAAGCTGCACCAAGCTGGAGTGGGAGTTGGGGTAGATGAAAAGGAATCAAATGGAAAAAATGATAAATTAACAGCACTTTTAATAGGACTCACAAGTTGTGCCAACTTTGTATTTATTCTGAGCTGCGAGTCTCAGCCTGTTTTCAGCTGTGTCTGATAAGGTAAATGTTACTTTTATTGTAAATGTTTGTGGCTGTTGTAATTTACATGTATGTCACTTCTCAGTTGCTTTCTGGGGGCTGTTACTGAAGTGAAGATAGCCTGAAAGGTGCTACCTGTGTGTGCCCTTCCAAATGAATTCTTTCTGTAACAAACACTTTGCAGGGTGTGCTAAGTTTTATGATCAAACAGGACCACAGGATGTTGGTAAATTGTTTTAAGAAATCTTTATCTGAGAACATACAAAGTTCTTCACCTCTTTGCGCTGGGGATCTTTCCAGGTACCTCTCTGCAGGCATTTCATTAGGGCTCCTGGGCTCTACAACACGTTTCTGTGCCTGAGTAGTGGATTGTGTTAAGCCTATGAAATCTTGCAGTGCTCACATGTTATTTTAAGTTGGAGGTATTTATGAAGAGGTGATTTTAACTGGGGGAGGAGGGAATGTGTGCGTATAGGTGAGAGCCCTGAACGGCTGGGGCTTGGAGCTGTTGAATTTTAAACACTTTAAACATTTTGGATAATTATTTGCACATGATTCTGTGAGGAGACACACAGAGTTCAAGATGCATACCCTTATTAAGACTCGTATTTCAGCATTTTTAATGGAATTACAGTAATTTTAAGTATGATTTATTGAATGTAATAGGAATAAAATACCATTAGGACTAGCTGTTCTTCCAACTGCACTTAGTACAAATACAAGCAGATCTATTTCAGAAGTTGTAAAATTAAAAAAAGTCTTAAACTTTTGTATCAAATGCTTGGAGCATTAAAATGTATTTTAATGACACTTGTATGCAGTTCTGGTCTGAGATGTTATATTATATAGTGGGACATTTCACTCCAGTTTAGTTTAGTTGTATTATTTTGATATACAGCTTTGCCCCTTATAAATGTGGGTAACTGAGCTGACAGGAGGCTGTGGAAGGAGGAGGCGGCTGCAGTGAGAGCAGTTAGTTCTTAATGACTCAGTGTTGTGTGCAGGGATCCTGATTATTGTAGTGGCACTAATGTGGCAAAGATGGAATGTCACTTTGGCCAAGTGCATTGACAGGCCTAGAAGACAACATGTAGTATGTCTTCTGTCACATGAAGTATGTGTGTTTTAGAAAACTTCTGAAGAGAAACGACTCAGGACTCTTTGGAGCAGAACTGCACTTAATCCACTCCAAGCACAAGTATGAAAATCTAGGAACTTGTTAATGTTCTTAGAACAGCTGTTTAACTGCTAAGGCAGTAAAAATTAAATTAAAATTGAGGGACAAATCTGTGTAGTAACAAGTGGTAAGAGTGGGTAGAGAATAAATGGATTTTTCTATAATTCTATTATTTATGGGTGTTTGAAAAGATTAGCTGCTGTATTTTCTAATTTGTTTGAAGTGTCATAGTTATTTACTGTCTCCTTGTTTTTTAGGTTACTATTAGAATCTTAAAATGCAGATGAAGACTGGCTTGTGCAGAATCCTTGTGCATCTTAAGCACACAAAAGGGAATCGTAAACCAAGTTTTAGTACAAGGTACGTATTAGGAATGTGGCTTTTTTCAGCAGTTACTGAAATTAGGAGCCCTCTCTTTGTTCAGATTTGTGATTAGATGCAGAGTAGTTCTGCTTCCACACTTCAACTAATACTTTATTTCAGGTAATGTAGTTCCTGCTATGTGTTAACATGTTTTCAAAGGACTTGAAGTATATGTACACAGCCTCTAGATGTCAACTCAAACTCTGGCTAGTCATGTGTCTTACATCCAAAACTCATAGTGCAGCATTAATACGATGCTGTGTCTGAGCTACTGGGTGTTACTGATACACTGCACTCAGAATCCAGTTTGCTTGTATGACCAATACAGTAGTTTCTGATTCTGAACAGTCCTTGGCATGAGCCAGTAGGCTTGGTTTGGAAGGCTGTGTCCATGTGCTCTGTAAAACCTGGGGTAGAGTTCAGAGTACACACAGCTGCGTGGTGCCATCTGCCCTGGCTGTCGGCAGCATCTCGGTGGGACTGATAGATAGGAAGGCTTTAAAGGGAGTTTTATGCAGTTCAGTTTTACGGTTCAGTACTTCTGACAGTTTTGAAATTCCAAAATACCAGTTTTAAACACTGATGGGATTTGACCAAGATGTGCAAGTTCTACTGGTGAAGCAAGATGAATTTGGGTTAGTTCTCTTCTCTGTTTGTTTGGCCTAGTAGAAGGACTCAGATCTATTTTTCAATTACGTGTAAAAAGTCCATGGCGCAGGGCGGTCAAACTACTTGATCATCTCTGTAAGCTGGCAGCTGTCTTTGTAGTGCAGTGCAGGATGCACTGACCGCCTTTGTGGCCAGGTCGTGTTCTTTGCTCTTGTGGTTCTTGGAACTGGTGTTCACCAGGACCACCAGATCCTTACCTGCAAAGCTACTTTCCAGCTAATTGGCCTTCAGCCTGTCCTGGTGCCTGGGATTATTCCTCCACAGGTGCAGGATTTTTCATTTCCCTCTGTTGAATTTCATGAGATCCTGTGGACCCATTTCTCCACCTGTTGAGGTATCGCTGGATGACCTCAGTACAGGGGTACTCTGCTACTCACTGGCCCCTAGGACGTTGTGCCATTGACCACAACTTTTCTGGGTCTGGCTGTTCAGCCAGTTTTCAGTCCACCTCACGGTCCACTTAGTGAGCCTGAAGTTTTTATCTGTTTGTCAATGGAGATATCAGGGCAGTTTCAAAAGTTTTCCTGAAGTCAAGGCAGACAATATCCACTGCTCTCCCCACGTCCACTGAACTGGTCACCTCATCACAGAGGCTAGCAGGTTAGGATCCTTAAGAATTTACAAATTACCTCTTAGTAAGTCCATGCTGACTGCTGCCACCTTCTTGTCCTTCTTGGTCACGAAATGGTTTCCTGGAATAGGTTGTCCATCACCTCCCCAGGGCCCGTAGTTTCCTGAGTCCTCCTTCCTGCCCCTCTCAAAACAGGAGTGACACTTGCTTTCCCCAGGTCCTCACACCCCTCGCAGTTGCTATGCCCTGTCAACAATGGAGTGGCCTCGCAATGCCAACAGCCAGGTCCCGTGGCATTCATGGTTGCATCCCATCAGGCCGAACACATGTGACTTATGTTCAGTCTGTGTTCCCTAACCTGGACTCCATTACCTTTCTGATACTGGGAGGGGCACCGAGGAGGTGAGAAAAACTGTTGTGCACCTCAGTCTGTAGTTTCGCCTTGCCCATTAGAAAGGAGTCCCCTATTATTTTCTAGTTGTAGTAAAATCAGGATAAAAATAATCACACAATAATGTGTAATATAAGCCAGGCTATGGAAAGAAGAAAGCTACAAGCATTTACTCACAAAATCTAAAAAAGATAAGCAGCTAAAACTCTTAATCAGAAAAGCAGTAGTAACAGGAAAACACTTATTTTTTTCTGAGTCTGACTCAAAAGATTTTTTTTTATTCAGGATACATTTTGTTTGGGACATTTTGTCTTGACCATGTAGCCATTGGGAATTCAGTCTAACTTGTTCCTATGTATCAAGTGTTCCTGTGCAAGAGAAACATTTGGGAGCCTCTGTATTTGGCAGGTTTCCCAGGCATCTCAGAATTTCTCTGTCTTCAACTTCGAGTTTCCTTCCTGTGAAGGGAAAAGCGGATGGCCAAGGTTCCTTGGAGATATATAAGTGTTTCTTTGACTGGCTAAATAACAACTCCTTGTCTCAATGGAGTGATAAAATCCTTTCTTCCTCTTTCCCCATTATGCACTTGTGTGTGTGCACCTCAGACTGCAGTGTGAACCTGGTTGACAAAGCCTAATAGCCTATGAAATTGTGTTAAACATTGAGGGAAGACAGATAAAAATGTGAATGGATAACATTGTATTTGGGACAGAGCGTGCAAAGCACACTGAAAAAGATGCACAAGACTGGAAGGGTGAGCCAAGTCAGTGACCTCAGCTGGATCTTCCTGAACTTGTTGCTGAGCATTATTTGTAGACAGGAGCTGGCCTCCGTGTGTCACTGCAACTGCATTCCTTTCTTCAGCTCTGAAATAAGTGTGCGCAGTCCTGTTATACCAGGATATGCACTGGGAGATCAAAGTGTTGGCCCAGCCTGCCTGCTGCTGGGTTTCCTGAACATAGAGAATTCCAGGTAACTTCTGGGGAGAGCTGTCTGGGAAAGCGCTGGCATTTCTCAGCTCCTTATCCAATTGTACTTGTTAATGCATTGCTCTATTATTTGCTTTCACATGTGCTGTACTTTGATTACAAAAGCGCATTTTCAAGGAAGTTATCACTTAAGTGATATCTCTTAAAACTCCTCAGCCTGAATCGTACTTAACTTCCTGAAATGTTCCTTTCCGTTGACTGCATTAGGTTTCAATGAAAGCCACTGGTGGCTGCGCACCCTGAAAACTGAAGGTGGCTTTCTGCTGTACAGTGATGATGTGCAAAATGCTGCTCTTCACCTTGGAGTTACAAGGACCATCGGGGGTAAGAATTGTGTTGTCACCTGCTAGAGCACTTAACAGTGGCTGTGACTATTGTGATGGTACCAGTTTCCTTTGTGTTCGATTACTGGGCTCTTTGTACTACTTAACATGTAGTTTTTTCTTCACTGCCCTCTGTGCTCTTGGGCACACGAATAATGCTGTTATCTAATAAAATAGTAATTAAATCTGTGACACCTCCCTGAATGGAGGAGAGGGGTGAGCTGATCACTCTCACTTAAAGCTGTTTTCCTTCTGCTTGCAGACTGTCCTGTGAGACCTGAGGAAAAAGGGCTGTTTGAAACGATAGGAAGGGACCCAGCCTTGGAGGTGGTGCATCCCCACCAACATCCCAGCTTGGAAAAGACACATTGGACAAACGTGAATACCATGTCTGTTTGTGAGGTTCCAGAGACTTCTTCTTGTATGAGGAGTTACAGCTTTTGTGATGCCACTGTCTTCAGCCTCTGGCACAGATGGTGGTACCCAGGGAGAAGCCAAGTCCAGCATTTCATAGGAAAGCTGATGTTGGCCAGCTCTGATGTGTAACTGAGGTAACGACGCCCTATGTAGACTGCACTGGAAGCAGATTCTTTTTCTAGAAATAGTTCTAAGGAAACAGTGTTTGATAAAAGGATTAAAGGTTGTACATGCTACAAAAAGAATCAAGAGTAAATGATATATTAAAAGACTGCTGCTTGGTTTCAATTATTGCTTTTGGACTAAAAAAAAGCCTTAAGAGTTAAAATGAATGAGAAAATACTTCCAGGCCCTAAAATATATGACAAAACATAGGAAAGGGGTGGAGGTTAAAGAAAAAAACCAGTAGTGTGGATTGGATTTATGCTGCAGTAGTTTAGAAGAATACAGAAGTGTTAATTACGAAGAGAAAAATGATCCAAGCCAGTGCCAGCTGAAAAGAACTGGAAGGAAATAACACTGGGGTTATTAACCATAGGGGAGATCACAGCTGCAGTAAGCTTTCAGTTGAGCTCTGTCCAGCTGAGCTGGAAGTTAAGTTACAACTGCCTACTGTCTTAATGTAGCCCAATAAAAAGATGAAAAAACATGAATGAGTAATGAAAAATTAATTTTTATGTGATGTGATTAACATTGGCCTGTAATGCATCATCAGGAATTTTTTCAGTGTTTCTGTAGCTATTGTAAAACTGTTTAAATTACAGGATGTTTACTTTCTATTTCCTGAAATCAACAAGGCAGTGAACATGAATTGAAGGCTGGAGAGGAACCCCACCCAGTTCAAAAAAGGCAAATGCAAAGTCTGCAGCGGGAACTGAATTAATACAAGTTTTTATCCTGGGCAGATTGTTTGCAAAGCAGCTTTGCAGAGGCTGATCTGGGGCCCTAAAGGACAAGTGAAGATGGAGTTGTCCAACCACATTCTGGCTCCATTAGAAGAGCACAGCTGAGCAAGGGCCAGAGGAGCAATCTGTCCTCTCTGTTCAGCATGTCTGAGACTGCAGCTGCAACACTGTACACTGTGACCCGTTCTGGGCTCCTGAAGACAAGATATATTGGGAACAAGTCCTGTGGAGGCCACTGGGATGACCAGAAGTTAGGAGCACAGGAGCCATAGGGATGGGCAGCAGAGTTTGTTCTGGCTGGAGAACAGGAGGTGGTGGGGACTAGGAGATATTCTTAATGCAGCTGTGTAAGAGAAGGGGTAGGGAATATGGAGCCAGACTCATCTTAGGGGTGCATCGTAGTTTCAGTGTATGGAAGTGTTGCATCATACTGCTTATAAAAACTTGGACTCCCTGCACTGTGGAACCATTGGGGGGTTTCTGGGAATCATTTTGTTTCAGGAAGGGTGCATGCAGGGGACCTGGTCTGTGGGGCTTTCTTGTGGTTTTAGGGATCCTGATCCTGCTCTTCATAGAAAGAACTATGGGACCTTCCAAAGCTTTTATATGTCCCGTGCAAGCTTTTCCAGACGGATTGTCTCACCCAGCTTTGTAAAGCCTTTTTGAAAAAAAATCAAATTTCGTATGTCAGCACAGCCTTTACAGGCTGGGGCTCTGCTGTAACTGCTTGGGACTGGGAGAGCAGCTCTTCTCCCTTATGGATAATTGTGTTCAGTGTAAGACATGCAACTGCTGTAACAGGCCTAAGTGGGCTTTTCTCCCTCAAAATAAAAGATCCTTTTTAAACATTAATTTTTCCTGTGGCCTCAGTCCTCCACAAATTTGTCATCTGTGGTGTCTTTTGGCTATTTTTAGGATTTTTTCCAAACTTGTATTTGTCCTTCACTCAGTCTTTTTAAGACATTCACAAGGTGAAAAATATCTTCCCCAGTGCATGCCCATGGCTGCACCAGTAGCCATGTGGCCCTTGTAGTTCTTTTGCTTTCTTAAAAAGCAAGACTCCGTTACGGACTCCAGCAAAACTAAACAGTGCTAAAGGAATGCGCCATGCAGGGTCATCACTGCTCCCGTGCTCCTGGGCTGCCACCACTCTGACAGACTGACCTAAGGAAGAAGACATTACAACAGCTGTTCTCCAGTGCTGTATGGGAAGGCAAATGACACTAACAGAATTAGATCAAGTACAGAGGGCAGAACATTTTGGGACAGTCCTCATGCAGTTGGAGCAATCCTAACTTGCTAAGATGGCAGCTGCGTTCCGTGCTGTCTCCTCCACACGCTGGAACAGCTTTCTTAAATTCAGACTGATCAGAACCTATCTCGTTTTTGAAAAATGTGTGCAGAAAGCACAGAAGACCTGTGACACAGTCAGCTGCGTCACCCACCAATCCTCAGGACCTGTGAGAGAAGCCAGGAACACAAGTGCTGGTGATGAAACAGGGGAAGATAATGAACCCTGAATGTTCAGAACCATTTACTGCCATTGCAGTTCATAAGAACTGTAGCTGCTGATGCAGCAAGAAGGAAGTGAGCAAGTACTTCAAAGCATTTCTCCACATTGCCTAAAAAATTGTTTTTTATTGTAGCTACTTTCTCTTCAGCCTTTGTCCACCAAAACACTTTTTAACCATGGGATTAAAAAAAACAGACAAAAACATGCTTCAAACAGCTTTTCATACGCCTTTTATGCATCTTCGGTAGGGATTCTGAATTTATGGTGCCAACTAAAAGAGAAAGCTGCAAAATATCCATACCTTAAAAGCATCCCAAAACCAAATTTTATTCCCATGTCCTGTAGAACGAACTCCCTCCCTCCCTCTCCTGTGCCTCAAGAGAAAAGACAAAGCAAACCCCCTAAATCTATGGCCTTTGACAAACTGCTTGCTATATCAACTCTTGGAGCATTACTAGACATTTTTAGGTTAGACTGTACAACAGTTTCTAAATAGCATCTATATCATAAGGACATTTGTTCAAAAACCTCTTATCCCCGCTTTGAAGGGCTCCACCATTTCCCCAACAGAGGAGCACACACACTGTGCTACTCCATGTGGAGTGCCAGAGTAACCAAGGGAGGGGAGCCACGAACATGAAAACTGTCACTCCAGCATAAGGGAACACGAGTGTCCCCTTTCCTTACTCCTCATCCAGGGTTATGCATAGTGACTAAAATTACAACTACAACTACAAAGTCCCAGGTTCTGGCAGTGACACACCTGATGCTCAGACAGAGCTTTTCATGCGTTTCAGGTGTTCACCCTTGGCAAAGTGAGGTATCTAACATATTTCACAGAGGTGGAGGTACCAAGTCTGTACAAAACCCAAACTTGTTAACATCTTATCAATACCGTCTGCAAAAAGATAAGCAACTATTCCAAATCAAAACAGAAATGAGTATTTCTATGTCATGTTGCTGTTCTAGTTTTATATAGCTTAATGTGACATTCCACAAAATTGCAAGTGTCCTTTGTTCCTTACTCATTTGGCATCTCCTAAATAGGAAAGATTAAAACTTTCAAAATCAAAAATTAGAAACTCGTTAATTGAACTTAATATTAAGGAGTCACAGTTCTGTGAAGGGTAATTCATACATCTGCATCATTGTGATGATGAGCACTCAAATACTTTAAGAATTTATGCACAATAGTTTTGCTAATAGTAGAGGCACATAGTGGCATGTAAACTACACGTGGCAACTAGAACAGCAAAGGCACAATCTGGTTAGGTTTCTTGTTTTCTTTTTTCCCTACTTTTCAAGATGTTGGTTAATTAATTTACAAAGAAAAATATTCTATACTCCATGCAGAAGTATTAACATTTGTATTTTACAGCACAAGACCATTACAAAACTGCTGTCATCTGATAAAATGGGTCATTTAAATAATAATAATTAAAAAAAAAAAAATAGCAGCTCTTTGCACTGAGGAACTGAATTTCTGAATTAAAGGTCAATACATGTTCTCATCTGTCAGGCTGGAACACCTGAAATTCTCTATGTATCTTCTTGTCTACAAAAAGCACTGCCTCCACACTGAAGGTAGTCACACGTTTTCTGGTTTGCTGTTTTCAGCTGGCTATTTTCAGCTTTGTTTTTCCAGATGTCACCTGACTAAGACCTTAAAGGTAAGATGTCTGCAAAACTACTAGCTGCTTCTCTAATACAAAAATAGCTTTAAACACTGATACAACCAGGAACCTGACTGCAACTCTCTCTTGACTTGAGCCTGTTCAGATGTCCTAGTTCAGAACTAACAGGGTTAAGTCTGCAGGTGTGAACAAAGCGAATCACTCTAAGCACAACTGCTGTCTCATTGGGAGGCAGGAACAGTTTTAAACCAGAACACAGCCCTCAGCAATTCAAAATTAAATCAAATGCAGTCATTTTAAAGTGTAATTTCCAAGAATATGACAGTTCTGCATTTCACATAGAAACGTTAGAGTAAGTAGAAAACTTTAGTTTACAAATGAAAAAGATCCTTCTATTAAAAAAGACATTTCATGTAGTTACCTTAAATAGTTCTTATATGCACCATTCCACATTGTGGAAAAGCTGAAATATGCAGTCTGGACTCCACAAGTTAAAGAAAAACAAAATTATATGTATCAGCACAAATACTTACATCTACATCTGTACAAAGTACAAAAGCTGACAACCCTGTCCCACTACTGCAGGACATTCAACTGCTCTCCAACACACTTTCCTACGTGACTGCAGTGAGCAACAGTGACCTGGGAACCGAGTCTTAAGAGAATGGTGCTAAGAAGTTCCAAACTGCTTGGTCAGTCTCTGAATAGAGGAATCAGAAGTATATCCAAAAGTGTCAGTCCGCTCCACACGCTCGCAGCTTGGAGGTCACTGCAACTGCACTCTGTACGCTCCTATTAGCAGCTTTAACTGCAAAAGCAAACAAAGGTTTCATTTCAGTGTTGTTCATCTGTAACTACTGTGTTAAGCACTTATGTAGGAACAGCACAAGAAATTGCTAGTGACTGAGAAAGGAAAAAAATAACTTACAAAGTCTTTAATAAAATCAGTTTATAGTAGCCCTGCTGAACTATCAAGGGACTGTAAATAGATTCCAGTCGAATAGAGGTGGTGTCTGAACAAGTCAGCCCCAAATCTGAACTAGACAGATATATACTTCCATCTGAATACACCGTTTTCCCCTTAAGAAAACCCAAAACCCACAATAAATCAAATTTAGGAGTGTAACTTTTAAATCTGAAAATCTGGAAAATTTACTGATGTAAATTTGCAACAGGTAGGGGGGGGAGTATTGCTCAAGCCACCTGTAAATGCAACAGACTGTACAGACTATTTAAAAGCTGAGTGCACACCCTAGTAAATACTTCCAACGCACAAGCAAAAACATCTGTATGCAAAAAAAAAAAAAAAAGGACACTCCATGTATCCTTCAATCATTAAATTCACAATATAGATGGGGAAAATGTTTAGCTGTAACATTAGTTTATCCTCTGA